AGATTTGAAACTCTGTGATTTAGACATAGATAACTTCTGCAATGAGAATTGATTAGTTATATCTTTGCGATTCATGTTCAAGACGGTTTTAATTCATTCCTGATTGCATGCATTCTACACTCTCGGATTCAACCTGCGAACTGTCCTGACTTAGCGCCTTTAGCCTTCTGAACTTTAAGAACAAGCATAAAAACGTCCTTTTGCATTTATTTTACTATTTTGCATTACATTCATTATTTATCGCTTAGCTTAATCCGAACCTGAACTCTTTAGTGTAGTTTACTTACTCCCTTGGGATTCGATAATCCCTTGTACTACAACTGCTTTTGCTGTGCACTTGCAGTAGTTTTATTTGGGTAAAACCTGACCCTATCAGTTATTGAAAATTATGCATAGTGATGCCTCACACAACATTCTAAGATTGGGTTAACAAGCATTCTGCATGAGTGACAAGAAACAAAGCTGTGACACATACAAAGCAACCAGATATCAAAACTTATAAAAGTAAACAAACTAACAATGTTCTTTGATTCATTTGCAGATCCTCTTTTTGTCAACACTCTCTTGATGACACCAGACATGAGGCAGAGTACTATCCCCTCCCACGAGATAACGTGTTGGCTTCTTTAGCAGTGACGCCTTGAGAAGTCCACAGAGTAACATTCATTCTTGGAGGTTATGGTCTCTCCGTTCAGAGATCCGACATGAGCTGTTAGAGCAGCCATCTTGTCGTTGATGATGAGCTCGGTGAGCTCTACGGGTACACCTCTCTGTTCAAATGCTGGCCGTGGCCTCTCTTGTGGGCAAGCCGTCACATGTGCCCGTTCATGTTTTTCTTGTAAGCTCTTCTTCTTTCCCCTGTAGAAAAGATCTCACTCTTGCGCGCAAAAGTCACCTGAACATCAAGATTTTGCATCTCTTTACGCTCAGGCACAGAAATTTCGAACCAAACTCTCAAAATTAACAAAGTCTTAGTTTTTTGTGGGTAAGAAAACCCAGATTTTGCAATACTACATAAGATAAAGATCTTTCTATAGATCTCTGAGATTCAATCATCATTAATTATAAGAGAAGAGAAAGTTATCGTATGTTTGTTTATTATTAAACAGTTAAGCAAAAAAAAAATTATCGTATGTTTGCTATGAATTTCAAACTATAGAGAAAAGTCCCACATCGGTAAGCTAAAGAAGTTTGGTCATAAGAGCATGTCCATCCGTAAAAATTGTAAAAGGAGTATCTAAAATAAAAATTATTAATATTTTAATAAAATCTGAAGAGAGAAAAGTTTCAGATTTTTTAAACCTTTTATATATAAACATCTGTCACTAAAGTCTCTTACAATCTTTACAAACATATCCAAAATTCATTAAATAAGCAACGTTTGTTACTCTTTTTCCATCTTTTTTCCTTTTTAATAATTGTTTATTATTTAGATACTTTGTTAAAAACCACCGATGAAGGTGGTCTAAGCTTGGTAATATAAAAACGAGGCCGAGTCTCACTTCCAATTCATACCTTTCTCGGCCTTTTGGCTAAGATCAAGTATAGTATCTGTTCTTATCAATTTAATATATGATATGTGAGTCATCGGCTCACACGATATTAACTCTATTTTTTAATGGTGAAAGCCCACCAAGGTAGCTTGCTATCTGGGCTTTTACGAGTCACCCATGCGTTGCACTACTGCATGGGCCAGGCTCAACCTGCCAAATCAACAGTTCAACATTTAAGCTCGGCCTATGCGTTGCACTACTTCCTATTTTTCAGGGTCATGGCAAGTTCTCTGATTCAGCTCGATGACTCTTCTCAATTGGGCATTTTAGCCATTAACTTTCTAAAATCTGTATGAAAACTTCCCAATGAAATATTCTTTGTCCTCTATTTTCTCTGTATTTCACTTCGTTAACTCAATGTTCTTGGTCCAGGTGTATTATATATACATAAATTTGAGTAGCAATGGGATTACTATTGGGCTCCTCAGTGTACATTGATCATGTATATCTGTTTATACATGTGATTAATATAAGGAACATCAACAGTATTCATATAACTCGTCAACTTTAACATTGGTATGGTCTTGATTCTTTTATGCTAAGATCAAATGCTGCATATGTTTTTGAGTTGAAAGAAAACCATTCAATCACATGTCCAATTTTATTCGGTCTTACAACTTCCCCAAGTACTCTTCTTCTCAAGTTAAAAAGTTTTATGTTTTCAGTTTGGATGATTGGTAAAAAATATAAATCTTTTATACACATTTTTGCATCTAAAACAAAATCCCACTTCTTCCTTACAAATGAGTCGTGTGTTACAATGTACAAATGAACAAATCATAAGAAGAACATTCTCTGTTTCTTCATATCTGTCTAGATTCGATACTCATAGAAAGATTGCTTCTTTTCCGCTTAAACCTTCTCTTGGTCTCTTCTTCTTTCTCATCAACATATGCTAGAAAACTCTGCAGCTTTTTCAAACGTGAACTTTGTGGTAAAGTTACAGCTTCTTCTTCTTCTTCTTCTTCTCCTTCTGGCTTGTGTTTGCAGAAGTCCCGCACTATCTTGAAGAAGTGGATTAAGAGAGCGACAAGACAAGCTATCCCACAAACAAGGAACATTCCACATAAGCTATGCACGTTGAGCTGTTCTGAGTCACCTGATTAAGTTACAAGTTACCGATTCATAGGATCAAGTTCATGTTGCTGCAAGAACAAGTGCTTAATTGATAAATGAAGGTCGTATCCAAGTTATAATTTTAGTAATATCCAAGTTATTGAAAATTATGCATAGTGATGCCTCACACAACATTCTAAGATTGGGTTAACAAGCATTCTGCATGAGTGACAAGAAACGAAGCTGTGACACATACAAAGCAACCAGATACCAAAACTTATAAAAGTAAACAAACTAACAATGTTCTTTGATTCATCTGCAGATCCTCTTTTTGTCAACACTCTCTTGATGACACCAGACATGAGGCAGAGTACTATCCCCTCCCACGAGATAACGTGTTGGCTTCTTTAGCAGTGACGCCTTGAGAAGTCCACAGAGTAACATTCATTCTTGGAGATTATGGTCTCTCCGTTCAGAGATCCGACATGAGCTGTTAGAGTAGCCATCTTGTCGTTGAAGATGAGCTCGGTGAGCTCTACGGGTACACCTCTCTGTTCAAATGCTGGCTGTGGCCTCTCTTGTGGGCAAGCCGTCACATGTGCCCATTCATGTTTTTCTTGTAAGCTCTTCTTCTTTCCCCTGTAGAAAAGATCTCACTCTTGCGCGCAAAAGTCACCTGAACATCAAGATTTTGCATCTCTTTACGTTCAGGCACAGAAATTTCGAACCAAACTCTCAAAATTAACAAAGTCTTAGTTTTTTGTGGGTAAGAAAACCCAGATTTTGCAATACTACATAAGATAAAGATCCTTCTATAGATCTCTGAGATTCAATCATCATTAGTTATAAGAGAAGAGAAAGTTATCGTATGTTTGTTTAATATTAAACAGTTAAGCAAAAAAAACGTTATCGTATGTTTGCTATGAATTTCAAACTATAGAGAAAAGTCCCACATCGGTAAGCTAAAGAAGTTTGGTCATAAGAGCATGTCCATCCGTAAAAATTGTAAAAGGAGTATCTAAAATAAAAATTATTAATATTTTAATAAAATCTGAAGAGAGAAAAGTTTCAGATTTTTTAAACCTCTTATATATAAACATCTGTCACTAAAGTCTCTTACAATCTTTACAAACGTATCCAAAATTCATTAAATAAGCAACGTTTGTTACTCTCTTTCCATCTTTTTTCCTTTTTAATAATTGTTTATTATTTAGATACTTTGTTAAAAACCACCAATGGAGGTGGTCTAAGCTTGGTAATATAAAAACGAGGCCGAGTCTTACTTCCAATTCATACCTTTCTCGGCCTTTTGGCTAAGATTAAGTGTAGTATCTGTTCTTATCAGTTTAATATCTGATATGTGATCCATCGGCTCACACGATATTAACTCTATTTTTTAATGGTGAAAGCCCACCAAGGTAGCTTGCTATCTGGGCTTTTACGAGTCACCCATGCGTTGCACTACTGCATGGGCCAGGCTCAACCTGCCAAATCAACAGTTCAACATTTAAGCTCGGCCCATGCGTTGCACTACTTCCTATTTTTCAGGGTCATGGCAAGTTCTCTGATTCAGCTCGATGACTCTTCTCAATTGGGCATTTTAGCCATTAACTTTCTAAAATCTGTAAGAAAACTTCCCAATGAAATATTCTTTGTCCACTATTTTCTCTGTATTTCACTTCGTTAACTCAATGTTCTTGGTCCAGGTGTATTATATATACATAAATTTGAGTAGCAATGGGATTACTATTGAGCTCCTCAGTGTACATTGATCATGTATATCTGTTTATACATGTGATTAATATAAGGAACATCAACAGTATTCATATAACTCGTCAACTTTAACATTGGTATGGTCTTGATTCCTTTATGCTAAGATCAAATGCTGCATATGTTTTTGAGTTGAAAGAAAACCATTCAATCACATGTCCAATTTTATTCGGTCTTACAACTTCCCCAAGCACTCTTCTTCTCAAGTTAAAAAGTTTTATGTTTTCAGTTTGGATGATTGGTAAAAAATATAAATCTTGTATACACATTTTTGCATCTAAAACAAAATCCCACTTCTTCCTTACAAATGAGTCGTGTGTTAAAATGTACAAATGAACAAATCATAAGAAGAACACTCTCTGTTTCTTCATATCTGTCTAGATTCGATACTCATAGAAAGATTGCTTCTTTTCCGCTTAAACCTTCTCTTGGTCTCTTCTTCTTTCTCATCAACATATGCAAGAAAACTCTGCAGCTTTTTCAAACGTGAACTTTGCGGTAAAGTTACAGCTTCTTCTTCTTCTTCTTCTTCTTCTTCTTCTTCTTCTTCTCGTTCTGGCTTGTGTTTGCAGAAGTCTCGCACTATCTTGAAGAAGTTGATTAAGAGAGCGACAAGACAAGCTATCCCACAAACAAGGAACATTCCCCAGAAGCTATGCACGTTGAGCTGTTCTGAGTCACCTGATTAAGTTACAAGTTACCGATTCATAGGATCAAGTTCATGTTGCTGCAAGAACAAGTGCTTAATTGATAAATGAAGGTCGTATCCAAGTTATGATTTTAGTTATATCCTAGTTATTGAAAATTATGCATAGTGATGCCTCACACAACATTCTAAGATTGGGTTAACAAGCATTCTGCATGAGTGACAAGAAACGAAGCTGTGACACATACAAAGCAACCAGATACCAAAACTTATAAAAGTAAACAAACTAACAATGTTCTTTGATCATCTGCAGATCCTCTTTTTGTCAACACTCTCTTGATGACACCAGACATGAGGCACAGTACTATCCCCTCACACGAGATAACGTGTTGGCTTCTTTGGCAGTGACGCCTTGAGCAGTCCACATAGTAACATTCATTCTTGGAGATTATGGTCTTCCCGTTCAGAGATCCGACATGAGCTGTTAGAGCAGCCATCTTGTCGTTGAAGATGAGCTCGGTGAGCTCTACGGGTACACCTCTCTGTTCAAATGCTGGTCGTGGCCTCTCTTGTGGGCAAGCCGTCACATGTGCCCGTTCATGTTTTTCTTGTAAGCTCTTCTTCTTTCCCCTGTAGAAAAGATCTCACTCTTGCTCGCAAAAGTCACCTGAACATCAAGATTTTGCATCTCTTTACGCTCAGGCACAGAAATTTCGAACCAAACTCTCAAAATTAACAAAGTCTTAGTTTTTTGTGGGTAAGAAAACCCAGATTTTGCAATACTATATAGATAAAAGATCCTTGTATAGATCCCTGAGATTCAATCATTATTAGTTATAAGAGAAAAGAAAGTTATCGTATGTTTGTTTAATAGTAAACCATTAAGCAGAAAAAAGTTATCGTATGTTTGCTATGAACTATAGAGAAAAGTCCCATATCGGTAAGCTAAAGAAGTTTGGTCATAGGCTTGGTAATATAAAAGCGAAGTGGAGCCTCACTTTCAAATCATACCTTTTTCGGCCTTTTGGCTAAGATCAAGTGTAGTATCTGTTCTTATCAGTTTAATATCTGATATGTGGGTCATCGGTCCACACGATATTAACTCTATTTTTTAAGGGAGAAGGCCCATTAAGGTACCTTGCTATTATGACTGTCGCGAGTCGCCCATGCATTGCACTACTGCACAGGCCTGGCTCAACCCTCCAAATAAGTAGTTAAATATTTATACTCGGCCAGTAGTTGACTAATCGGTTTAAGTATAATGTCGGTTAACCCTCCCAAATCGCACTTTCCATTGTTTATTGAATCTTGGCGAAAAGTCTGATGATAATGTTGATGATGCAGAGTATATGTCTGCTTGTCTGATAATTTTTAGTAATATCCAAGTTATTGAAAATTATGCATAGTGCCTCACACAACATTCTACAATTGGGTTTGAAAACATTTCGCATGAGTGACAAGAAACGAAGCTGTAACATATACAAAGCAACAAAATACCAAAATTAAAAGTAAAGAAACTAACAATGTTCTTTGATTCATCTGCAGATCCTTTTTGTCAACACTCTTGATGACACCGACTGCAACAGTCTGCCTCATCACCTTTTTTCAAGAACTTGGGCTCACATTTGAGTTCTATGAACTCTTTCAACAGAACATATCAGGTAAATGACTCATGTATTTGCACAAAGATAAGTCAATACAAACTAGAAATTTCCACCCAAGCTCTCAAATTAAGCAAAATTTTAATCTTGTTTTGGCAAGAAAACCCATATTTTGCAATATAAACTACATAAGATAAGATCCTCCTCCTGTGCAGTTAGATCCCTGAGATTCAGTCATCACCACCTCAAAGAGAAGGTATGTACTGTATGTATTGTTTGGTTCGAACTCTGAAGAAAGATGTTTAAGAAAAGAGCCTATTTCTATTAAAAAAAATGTCAAAATATGTTGGACACAGAATGAATAAGTTACGCCTACGAACACTTAATTTCAGTAATGACAATCTATCTTATATATGGCAGACTTTGGGCTGAGTAAGGTCATATTCTAAAGACGAGCTGTGGAAACCCCAACTATGCTGCTCCCGAGGTATTCAGTTTTGTAAGGTTACAGTTTTCTTATTTACTTTGGCGTCACGTTTCTCTTTTCACTGGGTATTGAGTATCTATCTGAAACTCCAAAATTTTCAATGAATCAACTCTTCCTACATCAGGAAAACTATATGCTGAACCTGAAGTGAGATGTATGGAGTTGTTGCGGAGTGATATTGTATGATTTGTTGTGTGGTACTGTACATTAAACTCTAATTCAGCTCAATGACTCTTCTCAATTGGGCATTTGAGCTGTAGCTGAGACGCTACCATTATTTTGCAGAGAGATAACAGGAAAAATATGACCTTACTACAAGACTTAGCGCTGTTAAAACATGAAAGTTACAAGTTAAAGATTCCTAGGATCAAGTTCTTGTTGCTGCATCATGATCAAGTGCTTATATGATCTGTGACTCTCTGCTTGTCTATCTGAATCATGCCCTTGATACCGTTTTCCATGATCATTGGTTCTAATTTTCCATATATTCAATATCTGCTCGCTTCTCTCCTTTCCATTGTTTATTAGAAGAATCTTGGCGATACGTCTGATGATAATGTTGATGATGCAGAGTATTGCATGATCCTAAGCGGAGTCGATTTCTTTCTGATCGTTGTCTATAGAAGATGGCATCTCACAGGACATGAGACAGAGGGGAAATTCATTAAAAGAAGAGTTTGAGGAAAGTTTATTGATAAATGAATGTCTCGTATCCAAGTTATGATTTTAGTAACATCCAAGTCACTGAAAATAATGCATAAATGCCGCACACAACATTTTACAACTGGGTTAACAAGAAGCGAAGCTGTAACCCATACAAAGCAACCAAATACCAAACTTATAAAAAGTAAACAATCTAACAATGTTCCTTTGATTCATCTGCAGATCCTTTTTGTCAACACTCTCTTGATGACACCAGACATGAGGCAGAGTACTATCCCCTTTCACGAGATAACGTATTGGCTTCTTTGGCAGTGACGCCTTGAGCAGTCCACAGAGTAACATTCATTCTTGGAGATTATGGTCTCTCCGTTCAGAGATCTGACATGAGCTGTTAGAGCAGTCATCTTGTCATTGAAGATGAGCTCGGTGAGCTCTACGGGTACACCTCTCTGTTCAAATTCTGGCTGTGGCCTCTCTTGTTGGCAAGCGTCACATGTGCCCGTTCATGTTTTCCTTGTAAGCTCTTCTTCTTTCCCTCTAGAAAAGATCTCACTCTTGTGCGCAAACGTCACCTGAACATCAGTATTTTGCATCTTTTTACGCTCAGGCACATTCAAACCAAACTCTCAAATTTAACAAAGTCTTACTTTTTTGTGGGTAAGAAAACCCAGATTTTGCAATACTACATAAGATAAAGATCCTTCTATAGATCCCTGAAATTCAATCATCATTAGTTATAAGAGAAGAGAAAGTTATCGTATGTTTGTTTAATAGTAAACCGTTAAGCAAAAAAAAAAGTTATCGTATGTTTTTTATGATTTTCAAACTATAGAGAAAAGTCCCACATCGGTAAGCTAAAGAAGTTTGGTCATAAGCTTGGTAATATAAAAACGAGGCCGAGTCTCACTTCCAATTCATACCTTTCTCGGCCTTTTGGCTAAGATCAAATGTAGTATCTGTTCTTATCAGTTTAATATCTGATACGTGGGCCATCGGTCCACACGATATTAACTCTATTTTTTAAGGGTGAAAGCCCACCAAGATAGCTTGCTATCTGGGCTTTTGCAAGTCACCCATGCGTTGCACTACTGCACGGCCTGGCTCAACCCGCTAAATAAGTAGTTAAATATTTATACTCGGCCCATGCGTCGCACCACTTGTCGTATGTATTGAGCGTTATGGCAAGTTCTCTGATTCAGCTCAATGACTCTTTCTCAATTGGGCATTTGAGCCATTAACTATCTAAAATCTGTATGCAAACTTCCCAATGAAATATCCTTTGGCCTCTGTTTTCTCTGTATTTCACTTCGTTAACTCAATGTTCTTGGTCTAGGTGTATTATATATACATAAATTTAAGTAGCAATGGGATTACTGATGAGCTCCTCAGTGTACATTGATCATGTATATCTGTTTATACATGTGATTAATATAAGGAACAGCATTCATATAACTCGTCAACTTTAACATTGGTATGGTCTTGATTCCTTTATGCTAAGATCAAATGCTGCATAGGCTGATAGCTTTGATGAGAAAACCATTCAATCACATGTCCACTTTTTGTCTGTCTTACAACTTCTTCAAGTACTCCTCTTCTCAAGTTAAAAAGTTCTATGTTTTGAGTTTGGATGATTGGTAAAGATATATATCTTTTTTATACATGTCTGCATCTAAAACAAAATCCCACTTCTTCCTTACAAATGAGTCGTGTGTTAAAATGTACAAATGAACAAATCATAAGAAGAACACTCTCTGTTTTTTCATATCTGTCTAGATTCGATACTCATAGAAAGATTGCTTCTTTTCCGCTTAAATCTTCTCTTGGTCTCTACTTCTTTCTCATCAACATATGCTAGAAAACTCTGCAGCTTTTTCAAACGTGAACTTTGTGGTAAAGTTACAGCTTCTTCTTCTTCTACTTCTCCTTCTGGCTTGTGTTTGCAGAAGTCTCGCACTATCTTGAACAAGTGGATTAAGAGAGCGACAAGACAAGCTATCCCACAGACAAGGAACATTCCCCAGAAGCTATGAACGTTGAGCTGTTCTGAGTCACCTGATTGAGACCCGTTCGGGGTGCTGCAGTTAGATTTCGACAGCCATCTATCATGGATCCTCTGAAGCTCACCAGTTTCAGATAGACCAAGAATCGCTGTTGACATGTCAACTGCTAAAGGGGAGTCTCTTGGGAATGCCTTTTATGAACCGAAATGCAAAAAAGGTGATCAGATTATGTTTAAACATGACTTAGTAAAACAGAGAAGAGAATAGATTCAGAAGATGACTCACAAATCCCCAACCGCATCTTGTGAATTCTTGGCCTCTGATGGCAAACTTACAGTAATCCGAGAGGAAGAGATCAACGTAAGGACGTTCATCGACGATTGCAGCAACAGTACCGTTTTGAAGCGCATTAGCGTATTCTTCAGGAGAGCCAAGAGGCACAAGTCTTGATCTGGCGATGTTGAGCTCATCAACCATGTAGTTCTCAGCAAAAGAACCAACCTGGAATCCGATACGACCAGTGCTGCTGATGAGTGTGTCTACTCCTTTTATAGGTGAATTCAGCTGCTGCACTGTAAGCATCGACGTGAGACTCGCAGTGTAGCTAGATGTAATGATCAGAACCACAAAAAGCCATATGAGCAGCACCATACGACCAAGCGTGCTCAGTGTATTCTCTCCTGAGAGTTTCATTTTATAAAGATGTTAAGAAAACTTCACACATGAATTGCAGTTACTAGCTCTTGAGAAGAGACTTACTGTGGGAGAAAAACATCGTCGAGAAGGTGAACCTGCATTATAATAGAAGATTCAGAGCTTGGTAATCTTCAGTTTATGCAGACAAATAAGAGGACTCTTGTGAACTAACCAGAGAACGGTAATGATTTGTCTCCTTGGGGGACCTCGAAACTCATCGTTTGTTCGGTGTTCAAGAATCCATATTACAGCTCCAACAACAATGAATAAACCCGCTGTTACAGCCCACATTGGAGGAGTAAAAGGTCGTAAGAAGGCCCAAGGATTGTCGGTAGGTGTTGAGACAGGAGCAACCACGACAAGACCTGACTCTATGTATGGCTGAGTGAAATCCACAATCCTTGTTCGTTTCGTGACAATGGCCACATCTCCTACAACAGCATCAAACTCAACCCCAGTGGTGACCTTGTTGACCAGCTCATTGTAGTTCGGATTCTGGAGACCATCTCCGAAGAAGATGAACTCGTGAGGAACAGGATAAGAAAGCAGTTTCACCGCAGCTTCAAACACATCAATGCAATACCCTTGCACTTTGTTGCTGCTTCCGTTGACCCTTGAGACAAAGTCCTTGAAGCTTGCTCTATCAGGCACACCTATCCTCAAACGCCTACCGTTGTTACGAAAAACCCATCCACGAGGCGTAACCAAAGTCCCACCAGGCCAAGTTACAGGTTTCAGATGTTGGTTTGAGCTAGAACGGTTAGAAAGTTTGCTGTAAAACGATTCAGGTGGTACAATAGAAAGACCAGAATGGTTAGACCAGTAACCAATTCGGCGAAACCCGTCATCGACCAGATTGATAATATCATATGAAGGCTGTACCATTGACCTGTCTTGATGAAACTGAACCGGACCTGTTAGACCAGACATCTTTGTATGCATAATGTAATCAAGAAGCTGTGATCCTTCAACAAATCTGCTCAACGCACTTAGATTCAACGCCTCCCCTTTCAAGCTGCTCAACTTTGCATCGTGGGAGAAGGAAAGGTTACCACCAGCTTCCAGATGTGTCTTAATGGCTCTAGCAATGATCCAGACAGTATCATAAGCATACAAACCATAGACATTCAAACCAACAGTCTTGTTATTACTATTACTCAACTTGTTCTTCCACCGTGCTGCAAAGTCCCTTTTCTTTCTTGAATCCGGCGTGTGAAGACGCAGTGTTAGAACTCCACTGAGGGATTTGGTATCCAAAGGAAAACCTGAATCTAGTAGAGAAGACAACCAAGTCGTAGCTATCCAAACGTATCCTTTCTCCATCATCCCTAATCTCTCTGCTTCCTCAAAGATCATTTTGCCTGTATTAGGGAAAGTGTTCACGACGATTATCCGAGACTCCATTCCCCGGATCTTAGTCAGCTCCTCTATGATCTCAACTGGACTAGAAATCACAACATCCAGAGGAAGCACCGCCTTATAAGAGATCCTGCAACGCCTCTCTTCAAGCTCGTCGCCTAACGCTGTGACGCCGTTTCTGCTGTTATCATCGTCGTTATACAATGCCACCACATCCGACCAGCCGTAGTATGTGATCATCTCCGCAACGGCGCGCATCAGAAACAGATCGCTAGGCGCTGTTTGGACAAAGAATGGGAACTGGAGTGGAGAGAGCGTAGGGTCAAGAGCCGTGAACGACAGCATCGGAACACTAAGCTCGTTCGCAAGATGAGACAAAACATGAGCCATGATTGATGTCTGTGGACCAATTATAGCAACTACATCAGTCTCCATGAATTGCAATGCTGCAACAACAAAAAAGGATTAAGTGGAAATAAGTTTCCCCAAAAGCAATGGAATACAATGCAAGATTGGATCTTTGTTTCTTCTTCAACCTCCCATGATGCTGAGGAAACCACTGCGTTTAGCATCATTGATCAAAATACGCAACTTCGATCCACGGAGGAAGCTAGGATCAGCATTTACATCTTCCTCAGCAGCTTTGAATGCAATACTTGCGATTTGACCGTACATGGTGTTTAAACCGAATATTGCACCCACTTTGATAACAGGAGGCCTAGAACTAGAAGCTCCCTCTGCTGAAAGTAACCCAACACCAGCACCAAGAACAATGAAGCTCAACACAACCCAATTCATAGCTTGGCTCATCAACAAAAATGAGGACTTGAGCTAAAACGCAAACCAGTTTACTCAGGGAGAGAGCCAAAAGGAAGTAGCTTTCAGTTTCAACAGTGAGAAACAGAACTGAAAAGGTGTCACGGGGATAAAACCCTTTTACCACAAAAGACGGTGGAGATTGAATTAGAGGCAGAGATGATGCCAAACCCCAAAACCAAATCATCCTTTAATAAAATAGGAAAAAGGAAGATTCGTGAGGCGTTGAAAAATTAATGACTGAAAAGTATCACTCGAAGACATGAGGAACAAGCAAGAGTAAAGAAAATGACAGGAAAGGGAAAGAAAGAAGAAGAAAGCGAGAAGCTTCCGAATATAAAATCGTGGGTGTACTTAAATATTTGAGAAAGGAACAAACTTTTTTTAGTGGGTTTTGAAATTTTGATCACTACTTACATAGAGAATCCATGGAAGAGACAAAGCTTCAGGATGAAATGTTGGGAAGAGAAACGTGGGAAATGACATGGCCAATAACGACAGTGATCACCGAAACGAAGATCTCCATTAGTATTTTTTTAAATGAATTTGTCAAACACTGAAACTGTAAAAGTGAACCCTTTTTCCAATGGAAAGAGAAGGAGAAGTATAGAGTAGATGATTAAGAAAATATTACTCCTTTTTCCTTTTTCTTCTTGTCACAAAATATTATTTCATCTCTTATCAATAATAATGTTTTCAAAGGACTTCTTATACCATTCATATAAATTTGCTCTTTTAGTATAAGGCACGTTCCTATAAGTGAATGGGATTTGTGTGGAATCTCCACTGATATTGGACCACAGAGGCACATACAGTACTATCAATTACTGAACAAAAGATCCTCTTTTGCCTTAAAGAGGATAAAGTTTAATATCTTCCCTTCTTTATATAATGCACCAATTTAAACTTAAAACTTTAAAGCAAATATAGCCAGGTTTAACACACCTACCGACACAATCAGAATCAAAATCCCAAACTGTATATCCTCATGGATCCAAAATACAAAATTTCGTATCACATATCTTCCAATAGCTTCAGTGTCTCTACTTCATGAGTTGGCTACTCTTTGATATCAGCATTTGCCCTCCTCCTCTTGAGGAACGGTGAATGTCCACCCAGGAAAATCTGAATCCTCAAACAGAGATGTTGGAACCACTTTGTAGAACGCTAATGGAACTTGTTTTACTCTTCTCCGAATCTGCCATTTTTAAAAGTTTCCACATTTAGTTCATCTAATGGTATCGATGAACTCACATTTGCTAGTCTTGATGGTATATGAACCAGGAGATACATTACCTCGTCCCCAAATATGGTGGCATATGAACCAGAGCTGAAATCTTCAATTTTCATCTCAGTTGTTTTTGCTCTAATGGTTAGATCAGTTTCTAGTGATGAAACAAACCTACATATAAAAAGAGAGGTATCAAGAGGAGATGGCAAAATGTAATAACATTTTTAAAATATTTGGATATTACTGTTTGGTGAGAGCAAAGATACCTTGAAACTGGTGGACAGTAATGGTGGCGCAATGTGTCAATCTCCCAAAGGGAACTTCCTGTAATTAAGTGATGAATATCAACAGTATTCATTTTCTGTATAAATCTAGAGAAACTGGGCATTTTTATCAAACTAATATATCTCGTCAAGCTACAAAGCCACCATTAAGAAAGTACAAATCTAGAATTACGCATCATGCTTCTATATAAAAAAAAAAAAGGACTAGGACTGTCGAATACTTACTCATGGCACCAGTTTTCTTGAGATCACTCTCCTGATTGTTGAAAGAGTCAATACCAAGCTTTTTGGAGGTCTTTGGATTGGCTTCATCGTCGTTATCAACGGGTTCCTGCACACGAGTGACCTCATTTGTAAGTACGTGCTTCTTATACATTCTTTTGTTCAGTCGCGAGGGACAATCATACAGAGAAATAAGTCATTTTCTTGAAACAGATCATACCTGGTGCACAAGATGGTTGATTGTAGGATGTCTTCGCATAAGGTTGTTGATCAAAGCCGTAATGACCAACGATCCCGAGGGAGGAACCGAAAGTGACAACCTGCTTAGTTTCTTTGCGAAAGCAGCTGCCAGATATGCTGGAAGCAGTGCTGACTTCAGGCAAGCATCAAGAAGCTGCAGAAAGCGTTTCAGATATATATAGAGGGAAAGATATACACTTTATAAATCAGCAATTTCATCATTGGTCACTCAAATCCGGCACATACCTGAAGAAATCTTGATCGGTGCTTCGCCACAAAGACCGAAGGAACCAGTAACGCGTAGAGTTTTACGTAAAAGTTGGGATATTCCAAACCATGTTTGGTCATGAGGATGAAGAGACTGCTTAGAGCCATCACACTGACAACTCCTCCGATATCGTATGATTTTGTTAAGAAGTCGCTGCAAGTTAAACACATGTAAACGATCATCAAAGGAAACAGACACAGAACAATGAAAGCTTTAATAAGTAAATATGCCTATGCCCACCATAACATTGCAGGATTAGATAGATGGGGGATAACTGTCTTGTCGATACTAGCAAGAACCTCCTTGTAGACGTCAAGAGGAAGTGGCAGTCTGAGAAATGAGATCCATGCTTTAGTGAACTTCAACTTCATCCTTTTGGCAATTGTAGTCGGAGAAAGAAGCTAGACAGTTTTGACAGAACCAAAAGTAAGCAAATGCATCGCAGGAAGAGAGATTATACAACGGATTCAGTATATTTGGCATCTGAAAACTCACATTGCTGTCTTGATCCTTGTTCTTCTTCTTCTTTTTATCTGTCGGTTTCTCGCTGCTGCTTCCATCTGAACCACTCCACATCTCGTGTTTGGAGTTTTCAGCTTGTTTCCCGGGAGTTTCTGGAGGTGGAACTCGAGATAAGACTTGATAGATCTTGCGAACAGAGAGCTCTAGGCTACATTTTCACAAAATTTCCCAAAGATCATCAACAAAAAAACAGCACAAAGGTTATATTCAAACAGTCTTGAAGAAAGAACAATGAAAAGCTTCACATATATATCGATACTAACCTTTCTTTCAAATCATTCTCGGCCTCACTGTTTTCGACCACTGTTCTATCCGCTACAAAAGGTCAAAACAACATCAGTTACACACAAGAATGCAAGAAACTTACATTATGGATCAAGAAAAGAACAAAAGGAGAGGGTGTTGAGAAAGAATGCACGAGTAAACGCACCAGACACGACAGATGATGCTTCCAGTGTTTTCACAAACTTCTCCATGCTGATGTATGTGAAATAGCTGGCACAAATCGATATTTAAGAGTCAAATCCCAAATGAAAGTATAACAACACGCTTAAGCAAATGAAAGTACACATATATAGCAAAGGGTTATTCGACATTACCGGACATCAATGTACTTGAAGTACTTTGAGGTAAGTATATCCAAGAACACATCGATATCAACTGCAGAGTGAATCTGCAGAGACGATAGTAAAGTCATTAAAGCACTGCAAAAAAAAATGAGCAAAGAACATATTTTTTCTCAATAAGTCTGCAGAAACTTACAATAGCATTAAGTACTCTGTGGTAGATGGAAGAGTGAAATCTTCCGGCATTCAGAAGCTTTACAAACTCCATTAATGTGCCCAAAACAATATCCTAAATAAACCAATTCATCGAAAACATTAGCAAAATATGAAGCTCACAGCGATGAGAGAACACAGAGAGATAATGAAGACAGAAAGTTAACCCTTAGAGTATCTTCGGACTGTTCAGAGACAAGAACATCGAGAAGAAGCTTCACGAACTCGTCGAATTTCGATCTTAGCCAAGCTTTGAAGATATCTTCAGGGTCATCGGCTACAGCTGTATTTGTCTTTGGCGAATCATCTTCGGAACGAGGGCGTTTCGTTGAAGAAGGATGCGAAGAAGTGGAGGGAAGCTGAGAGAGAAGAGGGGTGAAAAACGACTGGAGGGAGAGGAGCGATTCCACCACGAACTGCGGCGGAGAATCCGGCGAGACGAAGGAGAGGAGGAGAGGAAGGTTGTTGATGTGAGCTCGAGACGAGAGTAGGTCACAACCTAACGACTTGAGCTCTTTCAAGGTGTATTTTTCTTTCGTCTTCTGCTTCTTCGAGAGAATCGACGCCATTGTTGGTTGAGCTCTGCTTCGTGGCGGAGACAGAGGAGAGGAGGAAGAAGAAGAATTTAGCAGAGAGAGGCACAACAAAAACCTAACGATGTAATTGCATACAAGCACGACGTCGTATTAGCACTGACAAACCAACGAATTATATATGGGCCCTCTATCATATCAAAATATCAAGATTCGGCCCCGAGCTTTTTAATTTTCAAAACGGTACATTTCGGAGCTTTTTAATTACGGCCCCGAACTTTTTAATTTTCAAAACGGTACATTTCGGGGCTTTTTAATTTTTAAAACGGTAACGCAAATTGAGCTGTGATTAAGAGTTATCATGGTTGATTACTTTTTACCCCATGTAAATTTATTTTAATTATCTTTAATAAAATCTATTAATTATTTACTTATATTAAATCCTATTATTTTTTTCCATCTAAACCTAATTAGTTTTTTGCGATTAAAAAAACAGATTTTCTCAAAAACTACATATACAAATTAAACCTAAGTTTCCACTGTTTTAATTCAGAATCAGCCGCTTATCACTTTCCTCTTCATTAATCTTTTTCTCATCGATTTTTTTTTCCTTATGTTCATTCATAGTTATAGTTTTATCATTTAACACGAGTGTTCTTTATTGCTTTGTTGATGTTCATTCCTTTTTGTTTTCTTTGGTGTGAGATTAATTTTTTGAATAAAGTAAGGGTGATCATCGGGAAAGAGCTTTTGATATGGAGTCTGGACTATACCGAAACGAAATTGAAGTGATTTCACTATTTTGATACTTCATCTAAATCGTGTTTTCTAATTCCTAAACATCTATTGTTTAGGCTGTTTTAGTTATGCTTATGATTGTTTAAATGTTTCTGCAGTTGTAGACTTCGTTTTGTAATTGTATCTTTTTCTAAGGATATAAACATGATAAAGTAGGGGATCGAAAACAAAAACTTTGAAAAGGTGATATAAATTTGTTTAAGAGTCCTTATTGCTGACTTGCTGTTTCATATGATCCAATCTTTTAAAAAAATTTACAAACAGTGTTATAGTTTGTATACTTACTTTATTGATTCACTCTTCTTAATCTATCCTATAGATGGTTTATCTTCTCCTGGAGAACAAGATTAACACAAACCTGAAACATCTAGATGAACAAAAAAGATTAAGAATATTTTCTTACAACAACTTCACCAAATCCTTCTATATTTACAAGGTTTGAGTATCAAAATCTCATTTTTCTAATTTTTTCCTCTTATCTTTGATATTTGTTATGATTTCTCTTTGCTTATTAGAGGGGATTTTTCAAATTTTTTTATTATAAAAGAGTCGAAAGACTCATTGATATCACCATATTAATTGTATATGGTATATGATTGCTTAGAAAAGTTTTGTTTAAACGTAGCAGATGATGATCGTACTTGGATTTAGATTCTCCATCATAAGTGGAGTAAACATTGATGCTACTTATTTACGCAGACTACGATAGTAACTCTTGATCATCTTTCTTCCTCAAAACTTCAAACCATTGATTCAAATCAAATCATTCTCTTTTAGTTTTGGTCTATTGTTTGTTTATATATAAGTCCATCTTTTCAATTTGTCACAAACTGTTTATCACAGATCCAGAGGCTTATTTTGGTAGAGGATGAAGTTTCATATCTCACGAGTACTTGGTCGTTTTGATTTTATCCAATCTATTAATTTGAAAAGAAATTCTCGGCATATATGAACTCTGAATGTTTATATGGCATGATGCAGCTTTTGTGCCTTTTTTATATGCCTCAGGAAAATCAATAGAGTATTGAAAATAGCTAATTAGGTCAAGACTGTATGGTTAAAGTTCTTTTAATTATAGAATCAGTTTTGTTTATATATGGGAAGCGGTAGCTGTTGAGAAAGATGAGGTGGAGGAAGAGGATCCATTGTCCTGGATACAATAGGTCTGAGTCTGGCGGTATATGCATCAATGGGGTCATATATTATTTAGCTTGCGACGGTAGTGGTTTGAGTTCTTTCACAGTTTGCTTTGATCTTAAGTCTGAGGAATTCAAGGAGTTTATCAACACGGAATGCTTATGTGAGAACGAAGATACTATTACTACTAAGTCGATACACTGCATATAATTGTAAAATAGTTGGGGTCGATTAGAAGTATGCTACGGTTGATGGAAGGCGTACCCTAGAGTTGTGTATGTAGGTTCTTGAAGACATGGAGAAACAAGAATGGTCGAAACATGTCTATACTTTATGGGATGGTAAAATCGTTGATCCATGCAAACTTTCGGTCGTTGGAGTGACTGCTACAGGTGAAATGGTTTTGTTGATGGACTATACATGTAAACCGTTTTATGTTTTCTTCTTCAATCCGGAAAAAAACACTCTCCGGAGTGTTGAAATCCAAGGTTTTGGAGCTGACCTTGAAGCGCTTGAGGCTCGTGTTTAAGTTAAATCACACATTTGTATACTATGTAGAAGATGTTAATCTTAATGATGCAAAGCAACTCAAATCAAACATCTCTGCTTTATCTGTGAAGGCATATGCAAAAGCAATGGGTGTACTGTGTTCTATGCGTTTTATGGTTCTTTAGTTTGGGTTTTCTTATTTTTTGTCAGGTTTTTTTATTTACATGGCCTTTAGTTCTGTTGCACGTTATTTCTGAGCAAAAACTAATGTATTATCCCACATTAATTGGTTTTTCTTAATGATTGAGTTTAAAGGTTTGTGTTTGATCTGTTTAGCTTCACCGGCTGAGAATCTATCTTGCATTCATGTCCAAATAACACTGACCTATATTTGATGTTCTACATAAAAACTTAAAAGGATGAAATAGAAGAAAAAGAAAACTGGAATATAAAAAAGTAGAAGCATGTAAATAAAAATTGGAAAATTAAAAAATCAGAAAAAATGAAGACAATAAAATATAAGTAAGTAGAAACAGAAGAAGATAAAATTGTATGAGGTGAAGACGATGAAACATGAAAAAAGTAAAAGCAAGACGAGAAAGAAGACGTATACAAATTTAAAGATAAATGAAAATTGGTAGAAAATGAAGAAAGAAGATGAAGGAGAAGAACATAAGAGAGTTGGAGAATAAAAAAGCAAAGTAAATTGTCAGAGAAAATAAAAAAAAATAAAGAAAAGAGAGGAGAAGAGGAAGAAGAAAACACGCAAATAACAAAAGGTAGAAAAGAGATGACGATGATTAAAAAGGAGGAGAATGAGAAGGCGAGAAAAAAAAAATCAAAAGATAATGAAGAGGATGAAAGAGATGATGAAGCCAATAAAGAAAAAATTGGATAAAAAATCGAAAATGAAGACAAATACAAAGTAAAATAAAAAGAAAGAGATGAATGATATGAAGATAAATAAGAAGTAAACGAAAAAAAAGCAATAAAATTAGAAAAAGGAAGAAAAAAGTTCGAGAAGATGATGAAAACATTGAAGAGGATGAAGAAGAAAAAAACCAAAAGACATAAAAGACTAAGTAGGAGAATGAATGAGTTCTTTTCTAAAAGAGATTATTAAATCTACTGAGCTATTTATTTATATTGATTTAGAATTGTATCTCTTTGAGAATAGTTAAATTCAACTCTTTTTATATATTGGATATATAAATTTAATGTGAAAGTTGGAAAGTGTGTTACAACTACAAATGTTAAATTTTCCAAAACAAAAACAAGATTATACTATATGGTATTGTGTATATTTGTTTGATATCGATTTCTTAATATGTTTATGTCTATACATGGTATAGATAATCTGTCGTACAACTATATAAAGTAAAATAAACGATTTGTTTGACACACTTAACAAGAAAAATCAAAAATATTCAAAATTATTGTATTAATGAAAGATTGAAGTAATGACATAGAGTTAGAACAATAATAATCTGCAATGTTTTGGAAAATTGAACTATTTAAATAAACAAGATAATCAAAGATTTTAATATCGATTTGTATGATAAAAAAAAAACTTATTTTTTGGACTTTGATTTGATTCATTTATTTTATCAATATTATATATTCTATACAATTAATTGTAAATTGTTTGGCCTGCGTCCCTGCGCAGGCAGCACACCTAGTAACCCTTTAAGTTACAAACAACTCGTTCGAAAATAGCGTAATTGATTGTTTCAGATATAAACATTTGACCCATAACCCTTTCTTAATTTCACTTATAGTCATTATCCTGTGATTAGTGGTGTAAACGATAGGATTTCGAAAATGTAAACATTACACAAAATATCAAGATTTGGCCCCAAACTTTTAAATTTTTGGAACGTAACAACAACTCGGTCGAAAATCTGGATTGATTCAGAAACTTATATAATCCCAATTCATGTAAACAGTTGACCCGTAACCTTTTCTTATTTTCACTTATAGACATTATCGTGTGATTGATAGTGTAAACGATAGGATTTCGAAAATGTAACATTACACAAAACATAGTAACACGAGTAATGAGATATTAAATCTAGCAACTAAATGTGAGAAAAGATTGATTTTTCTTTTTGCTCCTCCAACAAAAACCACTACAAAACTCAAAACAGAAAAGCTCTTAGATCTTTTTTTCTTTTATCTCAAACTATAAAAAATTCTGCTTCTCGGGTTGTTCCTCTTCTTCTTGGTCTGGGTTTTCTTCTTCCTCTTCTTTCTTCTCTTCCTCTTCTTCATCTTCTTCTGGTGGATCATAAGGCATTGGAGGTGGCAATGGTGTCTTCATTGGGCTAAACTTTGGGAATATATCAGGTCTCCTCCCTGGTTTAGGTCTCTCCCACTCCTAACAGTAGAATCACAACGAAATCAAGAACATGCTCTCTTACATTTATAAATCAAAATCTACAGAAAAAAAAATGATGAACACTGATCCTTTAAAAGTTCTGTCTACATGACACCATAATGCAAATAGAGCAAGTGAAAACATATGATGAGCTATATCAATCAATTTAGAGTCGTGAAAATAGGGAGCTTTTCAACAGACTTAGAACAATTTGATTCATAGAGAAAGAAAAAACGAAACAGTGAGCTTGAGGAAAAGATTTATGATGCAAATTTGCTTCAAATAGAAACAATAGGTCATGAAACCTGAAGACCTATGATGATAAAAACTCCTGTAACATGAACAAAACTGATTCAACACGAGAACATATATGTTGATTTCGTTAAATTCGTGAAGTAATTGTCAAACAAACAGCAATACACCATCAAGGATACGCCATGGATTAGGAAACCCTAGCTATCTTTATCATCAATCACCGATTTAAGCGTTAAATGAAATCTATTTGAAGGCGAATCGAGCAATTGCGAATTGAAAAATATGAAACAGTGAGTTTTGTGGGAAGATCCGAAACCTATTTGAAGTGAAGAATCGGAGCTTACAATTGGGAAATCGAGAGGATTGCGACGAGTAAGCTTCTCTTCCTCGGGGGCCATAGCCACAACCTGCAGCTGATTACTCGCTCTTCTGGCCATCCGAAGACTCGGACACCGACGAGGAGGCATTGAAAAGCGAACGGAGGGGAAAGCATGGATACGAGACGAAGAGCAGGCAAGCGAGCGCGAGCCGTGAACCGAAGAAAAAGAGGAAATCTTCGTCGGAGGTAGAAACACTAAAACATCGAGCGATGGAGAAGGAAGCAACATCGCAGAGCAAAGCGACGCCATGGCTCCTCCGGACGGCTCTAATCGATTTTCCACCAACCAAGATTTATCGTGACAGCTTTCTGCAAAAAAAAAAAACTTATGCGGCGTCTGCGTTTTGATAGTGGCTTTTAGGGCCTGATTTGATGGCCCGTTAACACTTCTATTAGTGGATAATAGCGTTTTGGCGATTGGGTTTGAAATTAAATGTAAGGAGTTTCGTAACGTAACCATGTTTATCTTTGGGCTAAAAGTCCAACTAAGTCGGGTTTTAAACAGCAAAGTATGTTAAAGGTTGTGGTGTAATGAATGAGTTTTTTTTAAGAAAAAAATAATTTTATAGAATTATTAATTAAATATTTTAGTTTACAGTAGAAATTTTATAAATTAATATTCGATAAAATAATAATCATTATAAATTAATAATTTTTACTGGTTCCAAATTAAACCAGTATAAAAATTAGTAAATTAATAATTTTTAAAAAGTTTTATATAAAAATATAGTTTCAATAATTAGATAAATTAATAATTATAAATTTAAATCTATATAAATAATATAATATAGTAAAATATAATTATATTATTGTTTCAGATTTATAAAAATTGTTTGATTTATTTTTTAAATTCACTGATATGATATTTTCTGAATAAATTTTATATTATTGAAAATAATTTTTTTATTTTTTGACAAATATTTTGAATTTGAACTGAAATATTTCTATATATTAATAAAATATTAATTTTTCGAAAATTTTCAATAATTTTTTTGTTTTCTATTAAATATTTTGAATTTGAACTAAAATATCTCTATATATTAATAAAATATTAATTTTTCGAAAATTTATTTTAAAAATTTATTAATTTATAGAGATTTTACTATAGTTTTTAGTATTTATTAGTAAATAAAAAAAAAAATTAAACTGCAAAATTTATTTGAAAAAATATCTCATTGTCTAAGTCGTTTCACAGTGTTACTTGTGCTTACCAGACGCCTGGTGTGAACACTTTGTCGGAGTTTACAAGAATTCTCCTGCTTCTGCCACGTCTTAGCCCTTTTGTTTTCTCTCACTCGAATGTATTTGTGTTCGTTTTCATCTTGGACTTGAATCATTCTATAGTGAAACTATCGTATTCCATTTACAAGTGGTCTTAAGTGATCATAGAGAAAAACATTTGACTCTTTTAGTGGCATAGTTCTCTCTTTCCGTTAAGCAAATGTTGAAACCTTACATGAGAGGATGAAATAACAGCGAAAGACATTTATTAATAAACATTACAAACAAGTTTACTGAGAAAAAAAAAAAGTGTAGGAAAGTTATAACTTGTCCAACAAGTAACTCAGGTTCTTTCGCGTAGCCTTGCAAACAAACCTCCTTTCATCCTAAGCGTCCAAGCCAAGTGCATCTCAGGCTCCTTATCCCCTGGAACCTCAACCACAAACCTCTCCAGCATCGCGGCGGCTATCGATTTCATCTGAACATAACCCATCTCTTTCCCTAAACAAACCTTTGGTCCCGCATGAAACACCGGAAACTTATAAGGACTCTCGCCTCTAAACCCACCATTTGTTTCATCAATCCACCTCTCTGGATCAAACCTCTCGCAGTTTTTACCCCAAATACTCTCCATCCTCCCCATCGCGTACGCGTTATACTCCACTACCCAATCTTTCCCTACAAACGTCCCATCGGGCAGTACACTGTCCTCGACACAGCTCAGTGTGTTCACCGGCACGAGCGGATACAGCCTCATGGTTTCGGTTAACGCCGCATGCAGATAGTTCATCAGTTTCAGATCCTCAAACCCGTAACCCTCCCCGACTCTCTTCCCTGTTCGTGCTCGGATCGATTTTAGCTCCTCGATGATTTTGTTTTCCACCTCGGGATGCGTAGAGAGTAACCAGAAGAACCAGCTCAAGGCAGAGGATGTTGTGTCTCGTCCCGCGAAGATGAAGCTTACGACAATGTCACGTAGCAACTCCGGAGAGTTCATCTCCTCGTTGCTGATTAACCGAGAAAGAAAATCCTCCTTCTCGCTCTCGGATCTTCCTTGATCAATCATCTTCTTACGGACGATGTCATCGGCGAACTTGTGTACGGTAACCATTGATTCTCTCAGAAGCCTCTCTGACCCAATGTCAAGCTTCTTCTTGATCTTCCACCAAAAAGAAACCGAAGACTGAAACCGTTGCGCGGTCAGTGTCGACGCCGTATCGAAGGCGTGCATGAACTCTCGAACTTCGTCTTCGCCAAGGCAAGCGGAATCGACGCTGAAGGCTAATTCGCAGATGCTATCCAAACCGAATCGCTCAAAAATATATTGAAGGTCTATCAATTTTCCGGCGGCGGAGGATTCTGCTAACACCGGAACAAGCCTGGATCGGAGAGAAAGAAAGAAGAGAAAAAAAAAAAAAAAAATTCTCAGCGCATCTGAAAGAGTGAATTCATCTAATTGAGTTATTTATTATTTATACCTGGTGTTGATTTCAACGGTGAGGATGGTCATAAATATGTCTCGGAGTGACTTAGTGCTGAATTCGTAACTCGCCGTCTTCCTCTGTTTCCACCACATCACGCCGTCGGCGTTGAAAATACCGCGGCCGAGAAAATCCTCCGCTAACTGCTCGCCTTTGGGGAAACTCCCGAACTTCTTCTTGAGAATGTACTCGACGTTCGCTGGATTCGCCGTCATGACGGATCGTTGCTTCCCTAGATACCGGAAAGTCGCCGTCTGGGTTGGGGATTGGGATAGAATCTCTGCTATCCAATCGAGGAAATGTTGTTCGTTTTTCACCATTTCAGGTATGATTCCGACGATTGGGTACGACTTGAAACCAATATTTGACGAAGATTTTCTCGGAAATATGAAGAAGATGTAGATGGGGAAGAGGAAGAGGAGGAAGATGAAGATGAGCAGCTCCATTTTGACTGCCAAGTGTATTGTTAGTTAAAGATTGTCTACTACGCTACTTCATTTATAAAAGGGAATCCTCTCGGTCCTGCCACGTGGATTAGTCGGTCAGGTACTAACACGTTATTAATCGAAAATTACACGTGGATTAGTCATCCAACACGTTGTGTTGTTTAACACCAGTAAATGACATTAAATAGGTTACTGAAACTTACCAAAATAAAAAAAAAGCCCATTTGGACCTTCTTTGAGAGAGAGAAAATGGGCTTCGGGCTATTTAGAACTGAAGACATCAATCTAGAGAAAAAAAAACAAAGTAATTAAAGCAAAAACCAGAAGAGGATCGGACGTTCGGACTTGATTACCTGTGAAGATTCGAACTTTGAATCTGAAATTTATTATTTTTGTGATATTTTTTTTCTTTAAATTTTATTGATGGGTTAAACAGATTTGTGAAAGCAGAAGCAAAAACAGACGAGAACTTGAAAAAAAAAATTAATCAAAGAAATGCCATTTTGGAACCGATTTTACAAAGTCTAAAAGAGCCCGACACATAGATACTAAACCACTCTAAACACTGATACACACCATGTTAGCTCGGCCGAATTACTCTCGTATATTATTTCTGGGCAGTTGACGAACTTACCCAAACACGCAAGAATCATCATCTCACTTGCTCCCCAAGCGCGCCAAATGAAGAGGACAAGACGAAGAGACCGTTAGTATAAAAAAAAGATTATCACACCAGAAAGAGATCGGGTCGGGAGATTGGATCGGCATATCTGAAGCCCCTCTCAAGGAAGAGGTAACTGACCGATATCGAGTTAACCAGCTCCGACAAGCAGCATGATCGAGGGAGAACACTTTGTTCTCCCGAGTGAATGCCCACCAAGATAAGTCACTCTCGACTGTAAATCTTGCCTTAATACTGGTAACACATTCTTCCTTCTGTATAGTTTACCCCGTAAAATACCCACCAAACAGACAGATGTCTCGATCCCTGGACGAGACTTCTCACCCTAAACTCGTAGATGTGCCCTTCTTAGTATTTGTTTCCGGTACGGCGTTCATTGACTTGGACGCCATAGAAATTTCGGGAGAGAAACCTCTATTCGGTCCTCCCAAAGGCCTAACTGACCTCTTATTTAATGTTTGCAGGATCTCGCATGGCGACCATCCCGTTGTCATGACTCGAGCAGGTTTCCGCCTCGGAGCGACTCGTCGCTTTTCTCCCAGAGGACGAAACTCGGAGGCACAGCTCCACTCCCTGGACGAATCACACACCCCCACGTAGCATTCTGAAATTTGCTTCCGAAGACTTGTCTCAATGAAACTTACAACTCTATCACTTATACATATTAATTGAAAAGCATTTTTAGTAAATTACCTTAAATTTGTAAAAAAATACAGTAGTGCCATTTTTCTGATGTATCACCATCATAAAATTTCTCAGAATTTTTTTATCAAAAATAACTTATATTACTAAAATATTTATATACTATGCTATTATGTATTGTTATGACCAAACATAGGTTATACTTTTATAAAGTATCTAAATAATATATTACTAAATCATAATAATTTTTTTTTAAAAAAACACATTCAATTAAATATATGAGTCATACAAATTTATTTGCCATTATGTATAAATGATAGACTTTTTAAATGTATTCAACTGCTATATTACTGAGAGAAATAATTTAAATATTATATATAATAGATACATAAGTAAAACAAATTAAAACTCAGTAAACTTAAAAAAAAAAATCTCTATTAAACCTTAAAAAACGAAATTACTTAGAATATTGAAAAGGAAGTACTGTGGATCCGTACTCATGACAATGAAGTTTTCAGAATCAAACAAAATCAATCTGACTAACTTAATTCTTATTATTCTGGCTTCGAATTAATATGTAAGTTCTACTGAAAATAAGTAACTTTATTGTTTACTAATTTAATACATATGCTAGGTTATATATAGAATATATAACCGAAAATTGCCTTAATAGCATCAATTCGTTTTTGTTTCCTTAATAGTCAATTATTATTATTCAGTACTAATTCTAAAAATCATAATTATTGAGTAAATTATAATTTGGCTGCATTATATTAAATTTAAATCATATCATCCTAATTTTAGAAAGAGTAAATTTTAAATCCTCTGTATTAACTTCTAATTTTAATTATATCATCTACTGCTATATTATTGATGTTATATATAAAATATAATAAATATAAGGGGATCCATTATTTTTAGTAAATAACCTTAAATTTTAAATCCTCTGCATTTTATCATATTTGTAACCTTAATTTTAATCATATCGTCCTAATTATACACCCTAAATACTAAGCCCCATATATATTAATTATTTACTGAATTCTAAATATCCCCTATATATTAAAAGAGAAACATTTTTAAAGAATAACCTTAATTTTATAAAATATTACAATAGTGCTATTTTGCTGATGTGTCATCACCAGAATCATTTTCAGCAAAGTTATAAAAATAGACTTATGTTACTAGATTAATTACATGTTATACCACTCACATTAATTTGATTATACATTAGTTTATATTAATTATATTGATGATGATTCTTTTTTTCTATTTCTTACCAAAGATATATCATATTAATTATTATTTTAAATATTATATTTTATCTTTTATTTTTGTAAAAAAAAAAAATCATCACATCATTCATATAGTAATATATATATATACACACATATATATATATATATATATATATATTTCTGTGTTATAATTCAAATTTCAAAAAACAAATATAAACTACTCAAATGATTAATAAATAAAAGTATGTTTTAAAAAACTAAAATTGAAAATAAGGATGTGTAGATAGATGATTTATAAATCAGTATAAAAATACATAAATGATAAAAAGAAAACAGGAAGTTTAATCTAATAGATATTTTTATTATAATTATTTTTGGTTTCATATGGTTTTAGAACCATATAAATTAACCAAATAATATAAATATTTACCCTTTATAATAAGTACAATTATTAATAAAAATTTGAACTATAAAAAATAGTTGAATATGTTAATAGAATATAATATTATAAATATTTTATTTGATTAAAGAGTTAAATATCATAAATTTTTAATTTATACAACAAAATAACTTGGTAAAAATTAAAATATTTTTGTAAGGATATTATATAATAATTTTATTAAAATGTTTGATATTAAAAATGTTTTTATTGAATCAAAAAGTTAAGAATGTATAAATATTGACTCAGTTATATATAATTTTAGATAATTTATTAAAAATAATAAAAAGAAATATAATTTATTTATATATAATCCTTATATATATTTAGTATTTAAAATTAATTTCACAGTAGTTTCTTTTCTTAAAAGTTAATATTCTTATGGCTATAGTTTTTGCGGTTTAATTTAAATATGCATTTACATTTGTATAAAAAATATTAAAATCGATTAATAAACCTTCTAATCAAATTTTATTTTTTCAATTTTAATACTCTCTATTTCAAAATATAAGTTGTTTTGCATCATAGCACAAAGACTATAAAGAAACTTTTCTTTAAAAAAAAGTAATCATTTAGTATATAAATTAAATATAATTCAACTAATTATGAAAAACAAAAAATATAATCGGTCACATAGTATTTATAAGAAGTAGTAAGAAAAAAATGAAAACAACTATATTGTGAAACAAAACAAAACCTCAAAAAAAATTATTATTATCATAACACATTAGGTATTAATAATTTAATTATAATATACTCCCTTTATTTTTTATAAATTTTAAGATCATGTTATTAATCATGGGTTATAAAGAAGCGATTTCGTATTTCTATCCAGATTGTGCATATATATTTAATTTTTAAACTAATTTACATTAGAACTAAATTACTCTATATTTCATAAAATAAATAAAAATAATATTTTATCAATATTACAGCATAATGTTATAAACAATTCATATAAAATCAATTGTATTTTGTTATATGATTTTGAAATTATACTATATTAGATAAATAATTATTATTACACTCCGCACAAGGTACGGATTATTACCTATTCTATATTAAATGATTAATTGTAAAACTTAGTTATCGATTAATAACATACTTGACGTTAATACCTCTTTTCTCAATTATGATCATGAAGTTTACGAAATTTATTTCATATCCATAAGTAGATCATTTCGTAATTTATATTTTAATATTTTAAAAAAGCATATCCCATAAATACTAAACCTTAAACATCATTTTTTCTTAACATTTTCTTTCTAAAGGTATTCTATAACTACTGCTTATGACATCTTTTACTGTTCAAGTAACATAGTTGCAGAAATATGTTCATTTTATATACGTCAATCGTTTTATATGTTTTTTTCTTATAAGATAACGTCTTTACTATGGGATAATGCATTTTTAAGAATTGGTTTGAAAAGTAGTGAACCTTTTATATGGTTAGCAATTTCGATAGCTAGTGATACTCCAAATACTGTCTATTGTCTCTCTTTTTTTTAAAATCCTCTTTTCTGCTTAGCCATTTTTATTTTTATTTATTTATCCTGAAATAATTTAAGGAGATAAAAGCATTATTCTGTACCTATTAATTGAGAATGTAGTTTAATGAAAAATGCTGATTTGTTTTAATTTGATTGGTTAATATGTTTAGTTTGAGCAATTTTAATTTGACATGGAAATGATGATGTGTAATGATGATGTAATTATGACATGTCAGTTTTTAGTACATGGCTTGTGATATGGTATTATTTAATCTATAAATAAAATTTGATGTTAAAATTTTGATGCAAAATTAAAGTATTTGGAAAAATTATATTTTTATCAAATAGATTTGAAATTATATTTCGACACAAAAATTTTGCTAAAAACTTTTACGCATTTCAAATATTTAGCAGAAAATTTGTGACAACATATTTAGCCATAAACTTTTTGATATCTCATGAAATCAAATTAAAATACTCTAAAATAAATATTTTTGGTAGGAAAGTTACAAAT